CCGCTTCACCCAGAGGCCCCCGGCCCACCCACCGCATCTTTCCCACCCCACCTCCGCCTTGGTCTCGGTCGCGTTGGTTCCTGTTCACCGTCTTCCTCTCTGGGAGGCAGCTCAACGACCTATCCCCGCACCGACCAGTGTGTCTGCGAGTGTCTGCACCTAGGAGACGTTCAGTGCATGCCCTGTGTGTGTGTGAATGAACAGGAGGTGGCAGGGACTGTGCCTAGCACCCTTTCCACATAGCCACATTCAAAAACAGTGATGACATTTCCTAGTTGGTTCTCTGGCTCCTCCCTGGCCCCCCGGACTGAAGTTCAGCCTTGATTCCGTAGTCAGATGTTGCTTTAGACTTGAACCATTGGGATTAGAGTTGAAATCACAAAGACCTGTGGCCTCTCTCTGACTTTGCCAGCAGCCTCATCCCTTCATCCATCTCACACAGCAAAGCAGCCCAAATGCAAGACCCAACTCAAAAATGCAGCTCACCATCATCCATGGTCGCCTTTTACCCAACACAGAGTCATGGGCCGATGTGCTCAAGGAGATGAGGACAGAGCTGGCTTTGCAGTAGAGTCAGAGGAAGTGAGTACACAGAAACAGTGGCTTCAGGTAGTGGGAGGAGTGCCTGTCATAAAGGAAAGAAAACAGGGTGATCTGATGAAGTGATGGACATGAAGGGCTGCTCAGGAGATCCAAGAACAGGAAGAGCATTCAGGCTGAGGGAGCTGCAGATGCAAAGGCCCTGTGGTAGGAATATGTTCCACATAGCAGAGTATCCATAAAAAGGCCAGGGTGGTGGGCACAAACAAAGTAAAGAAATGGAAAGAGTGGCGGGAAACGAGATTAGAAGGGTGAGCAGAACCGCAGAGTGCCTGGCTTGCTGTGCCAAAACTTCAAAGTGCATTCTAATTGCAAAGGAACCCACTGCCTACTTCAAGCAGGAGATGACAGTCTCTTTCGTATTTTCAAAGATCACTGGAGTTGCTATGCAACAGAAAGGCTGTAGGTGGGAAGGGGGCAAAAGCCAGAAGAACTGGGAAAATTAAGGGTAGGTGGTTTCATTTTCCACCGTGAATGGAATCAGGCTATT